CCGTCTGCCCGGGGATTGTACAATCAGATTGCGTCTCGTGGACACCTTTTTAAATGACCCTTTTACAGCTGTGTCTTCTCTCCATCAGCATCCTTCTCCCCAGTGAAAAAGCAGCAGAAGACAGATGGGGTTATCTCTCTGCTCTCTTCTATCAGCGTGCTTCTTGTGAACACGTTTGCATGCAGCACGCCTGAGTGGCACCAAGCCATGCCCCTCCCTCTTTCAAACTGCGCTCTGTAGATTTCAGATGCGTACACTGCTTGCACATGAAACATACACATAAAGTCGAAATCGAGAGATGGGATGGGATGTATTTTTAAGGGTTTTGTATGTGTAAATGGGGGTCAGATCCCGGATGCCATCTTTAAAAAGAAATCTGGTACAATTGCTGACACTCCGCAGGTCTCTGCCAGGTACCATAGAGCCACAAGAGATGTGCTGGAGAGAGCAGCAGTGAGCGGTCCCTATTATAGGAGGGGGCGGAGACAAGACCAATCACCCCGCACAAGGAGAGAGAGCAGCAGTGAACAAGCTTTATTACAGGAGGGGGCGGAGACAAGACCAGTCACCCTGCACAAGGACAGAACAGCAGTGAGCGGTTTTTATTACAGGAGGGGGCGGAGACAAGACCAGTCACCCCGCACAAGGAGAGAACAGCAGTGGTGAAGGTCTTTATTACAAGAGGGGGCGGAGACAAGACCAGTCACCCCGCACAAGGAGAGAACAGCAGTGACCGGTCTTTATTACAGGAAGGGGCGGAGACAAGACCAGTCACCCCGCACAAGGAGAGAGAGCAGCAGTGAATGGTCTTCATTACTGGAGGGAGCGGAGACAAGACCGGTCACCCTGCACAAAGAGAAGGGGTAGAAGGATGACCTCAGCTGTCTGCCGCTGCTCTTTCACTGTCCAGTCAGCATTCTGGTTGCAGAAATATGACACCACTGTGTTCCTTAACGGTAAGTGGTGTCATCCAGCTGGCTGGGCTATGTGACAGGGTTGTGTAAATCTCAGTACTGGATGGAAAGCAATAGAAAACATTTGGCATGCAATGCAACCCCCTTGTATGTATTTTAGCCGTGTGCCTGGAGCTCAGCTTTAATTCTCGTGTTACTTTTCTACACTTGGATCGGTTCCTTCTGCGGGTGAATGTTAGTAGTTGGTTAGTTGGGATGTTTTATGTCACGATGAGCAGCCCAGATGCGTACGTGCTAATGCGGCGTGCTCGGGCCAAGCGTTCATCATCTCTGTGTAAACAAACGTCTTCTTCCCCGAGGACTGTGTGAAGATGGGGCCCGTCCAATGGATGTTCACGCTGCCCTCCCTCCAGTGTGTCCTGATCCTACCTCGGCCTGGCGCTGTGCGAGCCCGGAGTCCTCCTCGCAGTTTCTAGGACCTCAGTAGTGCGCTGCGAACGATGATCGGCACCAGGGGGAGCGCTCTGCGTCCCGGCGGTCGTTTTCTTGGCCGCGGTTGGAAATCCTCGTCTCCCCGGGATCGCTGCTAGCCGGACGGTACGATTCAAGGAGAGGCGCTGATGTAGAACAGAGTTTGCGGGTGACGGGTTACATGTAATCTGATTTAATCATCGATTTCCAGCAGAACCAGATTGAAACTCACCTTGTATGCTCTGCGCGCGGTCGTGATCGCTGACGAAGCGCAGTCCTCTACTCGGATGTCTGCCATTCGTTGGCAAACAAGTGTTGGTCAACACTGCGCCGGGCAGCTCCCGGCAAAGAAAGGTTTGAAGTGGGTCTGGAGTCTGTCTGTTACCTCCCTCGCTCCTGTACTGGCAGGCTTCCTCTCTGGGTCTGGCGTTGCGGGTTATGACATCATAGGCGCCCATCCACAGGTCCGGTGCCTGAGCAACACTTCCGAGCCTGTTTTATTCTTTGGACTGACTTCTGGGGTACCGATCTTGGCTGCTTGTTAGGGTTCACTTCTCTGCTGCCTGTCCTGACCCTTGGCCTGCATTCTGGGTTTCTTTTGTCTCTGCTGTGTCCCAGTGTGCTTTGGTTTAGGTCCACAGTCCTGCTGCTTGGGTCAGTCCACTGTTCATCCAGTGTGCTCCTGCTTGGTATGGTCCACTGTTCATCCAGTGTGCTCCTGCTTGGTATGGTCCTCTGTTCATCCAGTGTGCTCCGCAGTTGGGGTCCACAGTCCTCCTGCTTGGTTTGGTCCACTGTTCATGCAGTATGCTCCTGTACTGGGGTCCACAGTCCAACTACTTGGCTCAGTCACTGTTCATCCAGTGTGCTCCTGTGCTGGTGTCTACAGTCCTGCTGCTTGAGTCAGTCCACTGTTCACCTGTGTGCTCCTGCTTGGTTTGGTCCACTGTTCATCCCGTGTGCTCCTGCTTGGGTCAGTCCACTGTTCATCCAGTGTGCTCCTGCTTGGGTCAGTCCACTGTTCATCCAGTGTGCTCCTGCTTGGTTTGGTCCACTGTTCATTCCAGTGTGCTCCTGCTTGGTATGGTCCACTGTTCATTCCAGTGTGCTCCTGCTTGGTATGGTCCACTGTTCATCTAGTGTGCTCCTCAGTTGGGGTCTACAGTCCTCATGCTTGGTTTGGTCCACTGTTCATGCAGTATGCTCTTGTACAGTTCATCAAGTACATTGCTGTGCTGATGCATGGTCCCGACTGCTGTTCTTCCAGTATGCTCCTATGCTGGGCTCCCCAGACCTTGGTCTGGTCCGCAGTTCATCCAATGCACTCCTGTGCTGGGCTCCCCAGTCCTGCTTGGTCTGGTCCGCAGTTCATCCAATGCACTCCTGTGCTGTGCTCTCCAGTCCTGCTTTGTCTGGTCCGCAGTTCATCCAGTGCACTCCTGTGCTGTGCTCTCCAGTCCGGCTTTGTCTGGTCCGCAGTTCATCCAGTGCACTCCTGTGCTGTGCTCTCCAGTCCGTCTTGCTCTGATTCGGTAACCCTAAATCATACTCCGTCGTATGGACTTTTTTCAGTATAAAATATTCCAGAGGGTTGGATAACATGTTCATGCGAGTACCAGTTGCGCGTGAAATAAAGTTGTTCCAGTTGTAGATAATACGATGATTGACGTTTGATAAAGAGATGATGATAATTGTTGATGTGTTTCCTGTTGCAGGCAGGCGGAGCCTATATCTCGATGGCTGTCCTGGAAGATTCCTGGAAACAGAGTTATCAGGTAATCAACTCATGTTTTTATTTCTTTTGTTCCAGTGCTTTTAGGACGAACCGATGGGGGAAGATCTAAAAACATTGCCGCTGGAAAACGCCTCGATCCTGTCTGAGGGCTCCCTGCAGGATGGACATCGGTTATGGATAGGGAATTTGGATCCAAAAATCACAGAGTAAGAGATCTCATTTATATACAAGGCTGTGCACCCGGTGGAGGTCTTGGCCCTTTACTCACCTTCTACACAAGTAGGCCAAATGACATAAAACATGCTGCAGCCTGTCATGAGGTGGGAGGTGCGTTGGGGTGCCATTCAAATGAATGACAGCGCACCTAGCGTGCAGGGCCAGGTTTGTCACAGGGCCACCGAGGCCGCTCTCGGAGCGGCAAGGGGTGTGGAATATCCCGACGCCCAGGACATGTAGTTCCGGGCACTGGGCAGGTCGTTTTCTACATTTAGCCCTGCTTTGGGCAAGCAGAACTAAATGTAGAGCGGGGAAGCCACCCGTTCGTTTTCAAGTGATCTCGGCGATGTCACCAAGATCTTTTGTAGTAAGACTGCATTCGTGTGTGCCGTTTTGTAAAAAAATAAATAAGTAAAAAATAAGATTAAAAAAATTATAAAAAAAATAAACAAGTAAAAGACGATAAGATAAATAAAAATGTAAGAAGTAAAAAA